AAATTTCGAAGCGTCAAAATAAAAATAATAAAGTGCAATATTTAACAAAAATAAAGATCGCGATACTGAAATAAGACGTGGAATGGTCTAAGTACGTGCTACCGATTCATTTCCGACGGTTTTCATGTTTGTATTATTCTTAGTTTTCTTTAGGCTGTTAGTCTACCAGGCTGCAAGGCTGCTATAGGCTGCTAACTTCACAAATTTCGAAGCGTCAAAATAAAAAAAAAATAAAAAAATTCAATATTTAAAAAAATGAAGATCGCGATACTGAAATTAGATGTCGAATGGTCTAAGTATGTGCTACCGATTCATTTCCGACGGTTTTCATGTTTGTATTATTCTTAGTTTTCTTTAGGCTGCCAGGCTGCTATAGGCTGCTAACTTCACAAATTTCGAAACGTCAAAATAAAAAAATAAAATAAAAAATTCAATATTTAAAAATATGAAGATCGCGATACTGAAATAAGACGTGGAATGGTCTAAGTATGTGCTACCGATTCATTTCCAACGGTTTTCATGTTTGTATTTTCCTGCTAGGCTACTAATTTTACAAATTTCGAAGCGTCAGAATGAAAATATTATGTTAAGATAAAGTTCAACTTCTTAAAAAATAAAGATCACGATATTGAAAAAAGGCGCGGAATGATCTTAAGAAGTGCTTATTTATTTCCGACTGTTTTTATGTTTAAACTATTCTCAGTTTTCTTTAGGCTGCTAGGCTGCTAGGCTGCCAACTTCAGGCTGTTAGGCTGCCAACTTCAGGCTGTTAGGGTGCCAACTTCACGAACATGCCAACTTCACTAAAAAATGATAAAATAAAAAATAATAATAAGAAGAATTGTCTTTAGAACTTCATTTAATGTCGTTTGACTGTTTAAATAACATTTCTACAACATTAAAATTTTCTGCCGACAACCGCTGTCCGCTGACTTCACAAAAATTGATCAAATAAAAAAATTCTCAATGTGATTTTTTCTTTTTATATATCCTTTAAATAATAAGAAATGTCTTTAGAACTTCATAAAATGCCGTTTTATTGTTTAAATAACATCTCTGCAACATTAAATTTTTTGGCCGCCAGCCGCTGGCCGCTGACTTCACAAAAAATGATAAAATAAAAAAAAAATCTCAATGTGATTTTTTTCTTCTTTATTATATATCCTAGCCGCTGACTTCATAAAAAATGGTAAAATAAAAAAATTATCAAAGTGATTATTATCTTTTTATATATCCTTTAGATAATAAGAAATGTCTTTAAAACTTCATTAAATGCCGCTTTATTGTTTAAATAACATTTCTGCAACATTAAATTTTTTGGTCGCCAGCCACTGGCCGCTGACTTCACAAAAAAAAGATAAAATAAAAAAATTCTAACAGTGTTTTTTTTTTTCTTCTTATATATCCTTTAAATAATAAGAACTTCATTAAATGCCGTTTTATTGTTTAAATAACATTTCTGCAACATTAATGTTTTTTGGCATTATATAAAAATATATATAAAAAAAATCTTTTTTTTTTCTTTTTTCTTTTCATATATCCTTTAAATAATTAGAAATGTCTTTAGAACTTCATTAAATACGGGTTTATTCTTTAAATAACATTTCTTCATTATTAAAATTTTTGGCCGTAGCCCGCTGGCCGCTGACTCCATAAAAATGATAAAATAAAAAAAAATATCAAAGTGATTAATATTTTCTTTTTACATTTCCTTTAAAGACTAACAAATGTCTTTAGAACTTCATTAAATGCCGTTTTATTGTTCAAATAACATTTTTACAACATTAAAATTTTTGGCCGCCAGCCGCTGGCCGCTGACTTCACAAAAAATGATAAAATGAAAGAAAATCAATGTGATTTTTTTATATATCCTTGAAATAATAAGAAATGTCTTTAGAACTTCATTAAATGACGTTTTATTGTTCAAATAACATTTCTGCAACATTAATGTTTTTTGGCATTATATAAAAATATATATAAAAAAATTCTTTTTTTTTTCTTTTTTCTTTTCATATATCCTTTAAATAATTAGAAATGTCTTTAGAACTTCATTAAATACGGGTTTATTCTTTAAATAACATTTCTTCATTATTAAAATTTTTGGCCGTAGCCCGCTGGCCGCTGACTCCATAAAAATGATAAAATAAAAAAAAATATCAAAGTGATTAATATTTTCTTTTTACATTTCCTTTAAAGACTAACAAATGTCTTTAGAACTTCATTAAATGCCGTTTTATTGTTCAAATAACATTTTTACAACATTAAAATTTTTGGCCGCCACCCGCTGGCCGCTGACTTCACAAAAAATGATAAAATGGAAGAAAATCAATGTGATTTTTTTATATATCCTTGAAATAATAAGAAATGTCTTTAGAACTTCATTAAATGACGTTTTATTGTTCAAATAACATTTTTACAACATTAAAATTTTTGGCCGCCACCCGCTGGCCGCTGACTTCACAAAAAATGATAAAATGAAAGAAAATCAATGTGATTTTTTTATATATCCTTGAAATAATAAGAAATGTCTTTAGAACTTCATTAAATGACGTTTTATTGTTTAAATAACATTTCTGCAACATTAAAATTTTTGGCCGCTGGCCGCTGACTTCACAAAAATTATAAAATTAAAGAAAAGCAATGTGATTTTTTTATATATCCTTGAAATAATAAGAAATGTCTTTAGAACTTCATTAAATGACGTTTTATTGTTTAAATAAGATTTCTGCAACATTAAAATTTTTGGCCGCCAGCCGCTGAAATTATAAAATAAAGAAATTTTCAAAGTGATATTTTTCTTAAATACTAAGAAATGTCTTAAGAACCTCATTAAATGCCGTTTTATTGTTCAAATAACATTTCTGCAACATTAAAACTTTTGGCCGCTTGCCGCTGGGCCGCCCGGCCTCCAACTTCACACCGCCAGGCCGCCAACTTCACACATCTCAAATAATAATATAATTTTATCATATTTTTATGCGCAATACAAAAAATATTCATTCATTTCGAATAAACTGCCGTTTTGTCTGGTAATTTTGACAAAACCCAGCGGTAAGGTCTCTGTCGACTTACATTTGCGGTGACTTCGAGATAACATAATTATCTTCTTAAAACTTGAAATGATTGTAATGACAGGTTTATTATCTTTAAAATTGGTGAAAAAATGTTGGAATTATGGATTCAAATAAGATGAGTGCTACAAAAAGAGCGGCGAGTTGCATACCTTTTACTAACTATATCTGTGTTGTAAAGTTGGATTCCAACTAAGACAGGTTATATAATCATTGCATGATATGGCATCATATTAAGAAGTATAGCATATAAGATCTTCATAAATATTTTTGAATAAATAGTAAGGATTTAAATCTAGATTTAAGATTTAATATCTTAAAAGTTTATGATATTGAACATGCATTGTTTTATAGACATTTCATTCTTACCATTCACTTAAGTTTAATGTTGATTATAATTGCATTGAGTAACTGTGTACACCATTTAAAAGTAACTTAGCTTGACCTAAGACTATTTATATATAACTTATAGAGAATGGTTCTACTTTCTCTCATACTGCCCTTTAAACCTAATCAGATACACGTTCTATATATGTTTGTAAATATGTTTAGCTGATATTAGTTACTAGTTTTATTGTTACAAATATTTTGTAAAACTTTATTTATTTTATAATCATGGTCAATGCTGCCAAATATTCCATGAATCATCACCTATTTTTAGGATAGTTATGTAAAGTTCTAATGAGCTCTAATTTATTGGCTAAAATTCCTTGACCAATCAGAGCATTTCTGCATTTTACTGGTTCCACGAAAGTTCTGGTTCCCAGTAGTGTGCATAAATACAGGCACTACAGTTTTGACATTCTGCTGCTAATTTTTGAAGAAGTAACAACTCTAAAAGCTCTCTAAGGTTAATTGATTATTTACTTTATTTTTAGGCACTTAATCATATCAGTAAACTGAAGCTCTAAATTTCCTGAAACATTTTTGATAAATTTATGAGTAATTTTAGTAACTTCTTTTTACAGAATTTATTAAGATATATTAATATATTTTCTTTGTTTTAAGTAGCAGCCATCTGAAATTATTAGATCTTTATTTTCGTTGATATATTACGTAACTTTTAGTTAAGAGTAGACTGTTAAGTGTAAATAAAAACTTAGTTCATTAAAAATTTGGTTTTGATTTAAATTTATTCAACATTTGTGTATTATTTCTCTTTGCAACGAAAGGGTGGTGTCATCCTGACTATTAGATCCCCCCCCCCCCATTAAAGAGTACTTCTGAGCAAAATCAGAACATCAAAGAATAAATATTAGGTAATAAGTGACTAAAAACAATGGTGCCAGGGGGATAGTAACCTACTTCTATTTTAAGAACACCTATTCTTGCATATCAGCCTGGCGTTTCCGTTAGTTTTACCCATGCCGGGAATTTTCATCTGGCATGGGGGGTTCCAGATGAGTCGCGTGCTGTACAATGGCACGATAAAGATGACGTCATTTTACCGTTATGAATGATTTTGTAATTCATACGCTGTTGAATGAAAGTAGTTACGGTTGTAATGATATAAATTTTCATTGAAAATAAAGATAAAGAATTTAAAATATAATGGAATATGGTAGAATATGCAAGAAAAAATATCTGACATATGTTTGCGGTTCGGATCGGAATATCCGTCCCTCGGTCACCCGCCCATGGGCGGTAACTCGGCAAGCCTCGTTACCGCCCAATGGGCGGATCACCTCGGGACGGATATTCCGATCCGAACCGCAAAATATGACAGATATTATCATTAATATATTTTAAACACCGCAACATGTGAATCAATTTTTTATTTTTTGTGGGAAAAACATATGATAAAATATTAAAACATGTTTCAAATGAAAAACAACGCGCTTTTGTGTACTTTCGGTTTTTACAACCATAATAACAAATTATGTATATTTTGCTTTTGTATCTATGAATTCGCTTATTTTAGGTGGACTTTTACTAGATATATTGGCAACATTTCCCAGCTTTGAATTATTATTTGCTTACAATAAAAACTTTACATGTTTAGTTTCTTACCGTAGGCTTATCCGAAGACTGACGGAGAGGGCCGGAAAGTTGCGATTGATCCGAAGACTGACGGAAAGGGCCGATAAATTGCGATTGTATCGTCTATTCGCATCAATCGCAACTTTTCGGCCCTTACAATTATTATGGTTGTAGAATTTTGCAAACCTGTTGACATTAAGTCAGGCATTTTTAATTAAGGTCTGAGCCCCATAATGGTCAATATTGCAATTTGAAAAAATTTCATGCTAGTTCTTTTCTATATCAGGTAAGACACTTACACATGAAATAATAAAAACTTTCACCGTTTATTAAGGTAGTAATTGTTATTTTTGTACCCCCACCCATAACCTTCAAAAATCAAACCAACAGTAAATAAATAAAAATTCTTCTTTATTGAAACTGAAAGAAAATTTCATTCATACTGGCCTAATGTCATACAGAATATATTGCTCAACAATACAATACTTCATAAATATTGATTTCATTCAACATATTTGAAAAAAATAAAAAATCATTACCCCACCCACCCCAGCTTTTACCACTCTCAGAAAACTATGAACGTTTTTAAAAAATCGACAAAAAAAAAATGAATAAAGTGACAGACCTGAAATTTACCAGAAATTGATATCAATATGAGCCGTTCTCCAGAAAAACCTGCAATTATGACCAAAATATCGAATTTGAGGTTTTGAGCAATTATTCAAGTATCATCATTTTCCTGTAGAATGCAAAAGAAAATTTGAAATTATCTCAAAAGTTACCCGAGATACAGCCTTTCGCGATAAGGCACTGTCATGTACATAATCATGTAGAAATAAATATTTCAATATACCTCATATGAAACTTATAAGCAATTGAAACAAGTACAACTAGGAATACATGTAGTTTGTAATATATTCATTATACTTGTTTACAGAAACCATTAGCATAATAACATAAAAAATCATCATAACAGGAGTCAGATAAGGTCTTTTCTATGCGTTGCCATGGTAACATAAGTGTTCTTCTAAGGCTCTCCTGGACATGTTTCATCTTGAAATATAGGTCGCACATAGGGCCGAACTGTGCTGTAAAGATATCTGCGTCGTGCAGCAGACATTCCACCTGGTTGCAGTACTTGTGGCAAGTGTTCCCGTTCAAACTGAAAGTTGTTTGATTTCGTAATGGAGAATGTCTCCTCGGCTTTATCGCAGCTCTCTTTAACCACCACCATTCCAGGATGATATCGGCTCATACGAAAATATTGATACTTTCTGAAAGGGGTAAAATATACATGTTAATGTCATTATAAAAATGTGTATTATAATGATAACTATAGAAGCACTTTAAGGATTAAATTTGTTCAATCAAGATGATAAAATGTTATACTTAACATGTATAGTCAAACATATGTTAGATACTACCTCTGAATAGGAATCACATGACCACATGTTTTGTTTCAAATTATCACATTCAAAGTGCAGTGTGTTTAACCTGTAAATAAAGACCACCCGTCAATAAAGACCACAGAACATACCCGATTGATCTTTATATATAAGTTTGACTGTAATGTATGCACTTCATAGTTATGTTCAAATATATTTTACAATATCGCTTTACTTAAGCTGACAAAAACGCAAAACTGTACTTTTTACTCTTAAATTACCTGATGCCTTGGAGCGGTTTGAAGTACGTTTTCAGAAATCCTTTCCAGTCTCGCCATGTCCATGTAGGGTACCGGATACACTGGCTTGTAGATGATGACTGATTTACAACTTCCGTAAGTTGGCCAAGAGCATCCGTGTCTGTCCTGCGGTAAAGTTGTTTTATGCGGGCAAAGCCAGCATCAACATGGCAGCGAGCGTGACCAGGTATCTGCATCATATACTCTATCTTCTCCTGACGTCCAGACAGAACACGCCACATTAAATATCCCAGCATATAGAAGTTTTTATTCTGTCCTGAAATAGAAATAAATACAGTAAAATAATTAAAGTAGTTGCTGTACTATGTTGAGTTTAATTAGATGTGGTAATTAAATCTTGCAAATTCACATTAAAATCATCAATATTATTTGTTATTATTATGATAATATTATGAATATCAGTGTGTGAAAACGTGTGATAATGTTTCCGACTTTTATTATTATTAACCCTGCGCCATCTGCAGGAAAAGTTTAACAGCTTTTGAATCAGATGATATGCCATTTCATCAGGTTCCAAGATGCTTGTCACTGACAATGCTTCTTACAACTTTGAAGCAAAGTGGATTAAAGCAGACGACATTTTCAGCAGACAACAATTTTTTCATGTTAAAAATTTATGTTTCAGAATATTTTATGCTAATTGAATTTAAGAACAAAGTTTGTGATATAATATCGGTTGACTTGTATTTCTTTGATAACTGACTATGAACAGCATTGATCATATAATTAATATTATGTGTACGAATCGATAGAAAGTGCTATTAAAAGTTATTCATATAAACGCCAAAGTACATTTAAGTATTGAACTAATTTGTAGCAAAACAGTGTTTTTTTTTTTTTACAATTTATGCACACACGTGCATGTATGCACGTTCAACGTATAACGCAATGAGTGATGAATTATTACAAAACGCCATTTTGCTATAAATAATTAAGTAAATAGTTTCAATAAATTTATAAGGCACTTTATGACGAACATACCTGGGCAATTATCGGCATGTAGTGAAATTGTTGGTCCCTCCGCATGGTCCCTTTCTATCACCCAGTCCACCATACTGATAACAGCGTTAGGTCCGTGAGTTTGAGTACCATCAGGGCCAATAGTCTCATTCTCGTCTACAAGGAAGTTGTATTGTGTTGATGTTCCGTCATTGCGTACACCAAACAATTACACTTTGCGCAATGTCATAAAATAAGTTGGCCCCATCTGTCTTGAATGGTGTGGTAGCGATAAATTCTGGCTGAAATCAAAGGTGAAATGAGAATGTCGCCTGTCCCCTGTCTCAAACAGACCTTTAGCATATACAATGCATTTGTTGTAGACTTCTCTTTCATTTTGTGCGTTGACAATGTGCTCTCTAAGATTTGCGGTGCCCTGCAATTTTTCATCCTCGGTTCTGGAATCCATCACAACTTTTCTTAATTTTTCACAAGTTGCACAAACGTCGTCGCGTGGAGATGCAATTTTGATGTGTGGTAAACATTGCTTCCAGATGTTGCAGAAAGTTTTATAATGAACAGCCCTTTTTGTTGGTTCAGATTCAAGGCACGATGTTTCGTATTTCTTGTGAATATCAAGTTTTGTAGTAGCACTTGGTAAGTAAACTGGTGGTATGTTGTCTGATCCACGTGGTGCAGCCGGTTGTGGTATACCTATGTCTTCAGCAGTTTGGGAAACATATGTCACCGCATGTTTAATATCTTCAAACTTTAAAGATTTGACAGGTTTTTTCCCTTTGTTGCCGTGAATTCTTTGAACCACACCATGCTGATCAACATGTGTTAGGATATTTTGAAGAGCGCTCCGCTTGATATCAAAGGCCAACATAAACACAGTCCTACACACTGGTTCCCAACTAATGAAAAGTCATGGTGACCTTTCTGACGTTTCTTCCCGCGCTTTGTCAATTCATTCTGAGGGCTGTTTACTACAGTTGCCATTATATACAGTTCTTTATCTTGCTTTTCCATTTCCCTAATATTCAATATGTGATCAAAAATGTCAGAAATAGTAAACTGTTTAATGCAGTTTTTCTTGCACCCACAACCATTCTTATGATAAAGGGTAATTCTGTTCACGTCTTCGTCATTTTGGGGCAGATCACAATCAACTTCTGCTTCACCCTCGCTGTCACTAGTAACAGAAGCCCCTGTTGTGTCATCTGGAAGCGTGTCTATGTAGTCTTGGACCCGCTGATCAACATCTAACTCGGGATCATCTTCGTCCGAGTCTAAACACAGGGTAGATACATCATCCTCCTCCTGCGATCCCCAGGGTGTCGAAACGGGCGTCACACCAAAATGCTCGGAAAGCAAACTCTCCAAATCCTGTAAGATAAATAAATCCGGTGAGTACTGACAATTATGATAAAACATACAGCTTCTGCGCTAATTATAATGGGCTAATATAAATAAAAAATATTTCAGTCACTGCAGAATACAAATTTTCCTTTAACATACAAATGCTTGTCCAAAAAAAATCATACACAGACTGCATTTTATTTCAATTAAAGGTTAATTTGCTTGATAAAAAATTTTAATTTTACACAGTATTCTACATAGCAGTTTATAAAATATGATTGTTAAAAAAAAAAAAAAAAAAAGTTCGCGCGTCAGGATCGAACCAGCAAAACACTGACTATGAGTTATTGACACTAACCCCTCGGCCATCACAGCATTCGTGTTCAGTACAATATAAATTAAGTGATTTAACCTTAATCATTCAGATTTAGATCAATAGCATACCCATTCCGAACCAAAACCAACTAAATTTTCTGAAATTTTAATAAAACTTATCTTCGTTGAAATATATTGACATGAAAATAAATAATAGAAATCTAGATCTACGGAGTCCTTAATAATTTTTGAAATATTGATTCGATGTCATTCTGGTAGTGGTGGGGTACACAGAAATGTCTTCCAAATTTAGCGAATACATTAATTTTATCTGAAAAACAATCTTAACGGGTATGTCAAGAAATGTATGAGAGCGAAATCAACCGACTCTTTGCACGTTTATTACTGTGTTGCTCGGTATAAGTTACAACAATCACGCTATATTATTTTGTTTACGCGCCATATTTTCCTGATTCACTCTTGCGTAAAATACATCTATACAGTATGGGAACAATTGAACAATTAATGTGCGGCATACCTAGTTCAGAGTTGATAAAATATATAAATAAAACATACCTCTATAATGAGTCTATATCGTTATCCATTTTAATATCCAGAAAATGTCAAAATTTATCATGTAAACACTGATACATAAAGGTCACTGAACTCACATGTGCTTTCAAGTATGACGTCATATTTATCGGGAAATTCCCAACGTCATAATCGATGTCATTTTGGCAGGTTTTCCTGGAGAACGGCTCATATGTATAAAAGCTTTGTACCAAATTACAAAAAGATTTACCGTCTAGTTTTGAAAAAAAAAAGTTTTTTAATTTATTGTCGCTCACTGGTCGACACATGAAAAATCTGAATAAATTTGTTTATGTAGCAAAAAATCAAAATTTAAACATAACTAGATTGCTTCAATGCTTCCATCATAAATTAATGTTTCAAAATAGTAATACATGTAATACCAAATGTTTTAGCTAAACTATTGTGAAAAAACTGCTTTTCAAGGCTCAAAATAGTATTAATAACACTAAAAAATTGAACAATATGAGCCTATATCCCACCCACTAACATTTCACTATATTTAAAAATAACATTTAGTCATATTCCATCCATACAAAAAATCAGGTCTGACATTTAACAAATAATGCCATCAATGTTATGAAAGTGTTGTAGTAAATAACTCATATATAGTCTAGTTTTGATAAACATGTTTTCCAAATTTATCTAGATTGAGTACACCAAACATGAAAAATAAAATAATACTTGCAAATACATTACACAATCCAAAAGTATGTAGAACATGTCTGTAATATACATAAGTGTAACACATTATATGTTTTATGTGTTTACCATATTACCCTTTAGAAAATACTGCACATACAAAATGAGCTTTAACAATTTTTTTCAAAG